TCAGGAGTGAAAGATTATCTGACAGTGCGTATACAACACAAGTTGGAGCAGAGATTTTTATGCGCTTTTGGTATTCTGATTTTCTTATGTCTTGTCTTAGATTTGCCTGGAACACTCTTTCCACCTGATGCTTCACGGTCAGATTGAGGAAGCGAAGCAGCAGCTGTCCGTCGCTGAGAGCTGGAGATACGGGAAAGAGTCAATTTCTCAGCATCAGCGAGTTAAACTGATTCAGGCATACAGAAGCCTGTTGGATTATATGATCTGGTGTGACAAAAAATACACACTCACCAAAAACAGTAAGGAGACACTCGACTTCACACCACTGATTTAATATTCACCATTCATTATTCATAAATGTCTCTGACACCTTTCAAGTCTTTGTGTGGTGTTACACTGCCCCCTAAAGGATAAACAGAAATCCTGCAGGTGAATGTGGGACTTAACTTTGAAAAAAGGCTGTAATATAAAGTTTGCCTAAAATTTCTTAAACTCTGTCCTTTTTTAAAGATTCAATTGAATCTGACAACCAAGGAATGCAGACCCTCTTCAGACAAGCCTCTGTCAATTTTAAAGAACTTTTAAGAAACCCTGGAGTCTGGGATCCCTTCGTTCTTAGTTATGTTGAGGTAAGCGCTGATTAAACAGGCTTCTGCAAATTTTTCAAAGTCTCTCAAGGGCAGAATAACGCTGGTGTTTAGAAAGACTGACTTTATCTGCTGGCTAATTTTCTTTTGTTTTGAGTGAAATCTTCCACCTTTTTTTAGTTGTATATCTTGGCTTCCTCCATTAATACCCAAATCCACATAGTTTCACCTCAAATTCACTAAATTCAATGTAGGTTTATGGTGCTTTTGTGTGATGGGTACAAAACTATGTATAAGTGAGAAAAGTATGGAAGCGTATTGCATTTACCAAAGAAAAAAGAAAAAAGCTGACAGCTTAATCATGAGATCAGTATCTCGTAATTATGAGAAAAGTTCTCATAATTACGAGATACTGATCTGGTAGTTATCAAATAAGCTGTGGGATTTTTTCTTTTCTTTGGTGAATGCAATAGGCTTCCATAGAAAAGGACTCAATAATAAAAAAAAGGGAATGTTTGTTGGCAAATAGAAATCTCAGCTGCAGATTTTTTTTTAAATAGGGCTGCAACTAACGATTATTTTGCAAATCGATTAAATTTTCGATTAAATAGCCAAAGATTCTTTAAAGAAGAGTTTACTAAACTAAACCAAGTGAAAGTCAAACTTTTTCACTTGAGGAGCTCTGGATAGAACATATTGACAGATACATTAAAAAAAAAAAGTTAAATGCAAGATGTTTATATATTTTTTGTAATCTTAGTATAATTACTGCTCTGAGTGGGTTGCTCTGTCAGCTAAAGGAATATTTTAGAGTCTGTATTCTCCAGTTAACGATTAATCAATTACTAAGTTGATTGATTGAATTTATTGATCTCACAGTGGAGACCCGTACTTGTTACATCAGCTCAAATAGCCACAGAAGAAGGAGGAAGAAAGAGGTGCATGGAACATATACAGTAAATTAGTTGACGATAATTTCAATAATGGATTAATCACGATTAAGCCGATTGTTTACGCCCTATTTTTAACATATTTCTGCTAGCTTTTTCTCTGCACCAGAATCATCAATGTCCTTCACCTTGGGGGTGGTGTGTTCAGGGAGCGAAGTTTGCATTTTGCACATTAGCCAAAAACCTCCAACTAGAGGACCCTATTCTAAACATTTGCTCTGTCTTCTAAATTGCTAACTGTTTATAGACTACAGTCTGTAGATCTCTTCAGCCCTTAACATGCATTTATTGGGTGCTTCTCAGACGAATGTTCTGTGAGATGTCCAATGTTGTGTTTGGTCTGTCCCTTAATCTTCAGAATGTGGATTTCTTCACATATGTTTACAATCTTCTCTGGCCAGGTTCCTTGGGCCCACTAAATTGAGAATCTCCACAGCATGGTGCTGCTCTCACCCACTGTCTCCTTTATTTGTATACATTTCAGTGAAAGCAAGAGATTCTTTCCTGAAAACATCTTCACTATTGCAGATTTAGTAGTGGTCCCTTAATTAGCAGGCTCTCGTTTTGGTTACAAGTATTTTAACATTTCTTTTTTAATTTAAAATAAATCCTAGTTTATATTCAGTTTGGTTTAACAGTCGTTTTTGTATGTTTACCATCATCCCTGCAGTAGCCCCACAGCATGATGCTTCCGCCACTTTTTTTCTCTGTTTGGACCTTGTGTTCAAGGCTGTGGAGGGTTGATGTTCTAATTTTTTTCTTGATGTTTGCATATCTTTGCCATGTTGACTGGTTCTCCAACGTTTACCGTTGATCTTTACAGTTTTTCCATTGTTAGAGTATTAGGTTTTTCACATGTTTTTTTTTTTTTTTTTTTTTTTTTTTTTTTTTTACATTTAAAGCTTACCCTGAATTTAAATTCTCCCCTACTTCCTGGTCTTCCTGCTGCATTCGTTCATCTTCATGTTGCTTTTTGTTTTCAAACAAACCTCCAAGTCTTTCACAGAACAGCTGGATTTATACTGAGAATAAAATACACCCTGATCAACTCTGTGCTACTATACTGCAAAAAAGATCTAAAAATAAGTCAAAATGTCTTAAATTAAGTGTATTTATCCTCAGTTTGAGAAGGTGAATTAGATGATTTGCCTATGGAATGATGATTTTTACTGTTAAAATAAGGTAATTAGATAATATACATTTGAAATAAGACAATGAAATAGTTTGATCTTAAATGTAAATTATCTTGTTCCATTGGCAAAGTGTCTCACTTACCTCCTCAATTCAAGAAAAAAATCACTTATTTTAAGAAAAATTGACTAGATTTCCATTTTTTTCAGTGTAATAGCCGGTTTCTGTTGTTTGCAATTGATTTATTTAAAGGATCTCAGCGTAGATGGGCATGAATACAAATGCAAACTATAGATTTTAAGGTTCTAACTTTTGTTGAAAATAAGGTGTTTTGATTTTAGCTAGTCAGTGGTCACACATTGTATTTCTCGTAATTATTTTTTTTCACCCTTGCTGGTTAACTTCTAAGCTGAAAGGCTTGAACTCTGAGAGATTTCTGTAGTAACAGAGATCTGCAAATCTGATATTGTTTCTATTTTATCTCTTGAAAGGAGATTTAGATTTTTCTTTAAATTTGTTCAACGAGTTTGTTTACAAATATTTTTAAAGGTATTCTTCCTTCTGTGCTCAATGGTAATCGGTTCAAAGAAACAGTGTCTTTTCTTGACAGATGCTGGAGTTTTATGAGGATTACGAGGAAGCTCTTAATGTCTTGAACGACTACGCGTACGACAACAGCTTTCCCCCAAATCCCAATGCACACGTCTATATTTACCAGTTCCTCAAGCGACACAACGCTTCTGAGAAGAAACTGGTGAAAGTGTTAAAGGTACAAACGATGGCTTAAGAATGATATTCCAAAAATTAAAACATCTAATAGTTTTTCTTTTTTTTTTTTATTATTTTGTTTTAGAACCTCCATCTATTAGTGCCAAGCCATGAGCTGATGTTGGAGTACAGTTTTCTCTTGCTTCAATCAGGTAAAAGTAGATTCATTTCTCGATCAAAGGGTTTTTGATAAATTTGGAGTAAAAATACAAAATCACTGAGATATTCCTCTTATTGTTGCCACCTTATTAAAGACTTTGCCTCTTCTGGGAATTTAGCTACTTAAATATACTTTCATAGGATTTACTTTTTTTTTGTTTTAAAGAGAGAACCAGTGATGTTCGTAAAGCTTTCGCCGTCCTCCTCGACATGCTCGACTTCGCCTGCTGGAGGAGCAACCTGGACGTGTGGAAGTCTTTACAGGACGCCATTCACCAACTGCTTTCACAGTATGTAAACATCCTTTGGTATCAATTAGATTTGAATCAAAGTCTCTTTATACTGAGTCTTGCTTTCCTCACATTAAATGACAACAGGAATGAAGGGCAGATGATCATTCAAGAGTATATGGGTTTAAGAAAAGACTGGTGGCCCAAGTTGCATTTCACAAGGTCTCATGCAAAGAAAGACTCGGAGGAGAACGCCAAACTTTTGGAGGTCAAGGCATCGCTGGCAGAAATACTTTGTCCAGGTTAGTGTGTGCGTCGTTTCCAACAGTCTCTGGTTGTTGGGGTTTTTCATAACAAAAAAGGTGGAGCTAAAATGTGGAGGGTATATGGTCTGGAATTTGCCTTAATTTCTTGCTCATTCAAAGAATGGAAAAAAAAGAATATTCTTTTTTTTATTACTTTTTCACTATTACAGCTTATTAATTTTAGAAGTCATTTCACACGTTGGACCTATTAGAACTGATTGGATGCGCTCTCATTCAAACAGCTATAAGCTTTTTTCTAGTCTTTCGAAAGTTTCAAGTGCAGATTTAACCAGATTAGTTCTTAAACTGGCTCTAAAAGGCCAATCAAAGATCTAATGCTGCTATTTTTATCTTATTTAAATCTAAAAGTTTGTCATCATTATGTCTTGACCCCACGTAGAGTCAGATTCATCTGCTTTTTAAGCAGATTTAAAAGTTAATACTTTAAAGTCAAACGTCCAGAGTTTATTAAAAGAAATGATACATTTAAAAATATTCAGTGGACAAGTAAGGAATAATATAAGTAGAACATGATGGAACCATGTGACTGCGTTTCATGTATTCAAGGTCTTCCTTTTATTTTTTTTGTTTCTCTTTCTGTAGGTCGAGCCCTGAGGTACACCGCTGAGCCATTGCCGACTTGAGTGGGATTGTTGGCATGTAAAGGAAAACCCCAAGTTCAACTTTCCTTTTCTTTTCATAATGTTTCTTTTTAGAGGAAGACCTCTTACTTCTATCACCACTGAATTTTAAGGTCAAGATTAAGAAATGTCACGTTTACCCTATAATGTCCTAAACAGTTCTCTTGTTTTCTATTAATTTTGCCCTGAACTCTTTATTTTGCAATAAATAAAAAGAACCACAGTGTGGCGCCATTTTTCTCCTTTTCCTGTAGTGGGATTTTAAAGTCTTATTTAATCACTCACAGAAACAGAAGTTTTCTCTCTAGCATAGTAGGTATTTTTCAACATTTAATGAGGACAAACACAGCACTATGGTTGAATGCAACTGATGAACTAATTTTTAATTCTTGCCATAAAATATTATCACCTTACTTTAAGTCTCTAAAAACAACTTCTGTACTGCTGTGGGGAAAAACGTTTAATTTAATATATTTGCTTCTTAAACGAGATGATGTATTAAATGCTTTAAGATGGTTCTAGCCTTCAGAGTTCTTTCTATTCAAACATAACCATGAATTGAATTTTTTTTTAGCACTATACCAGAATTATTGTTAATAATAATAAAATGACATGATTTAAATGATTTGATATTGGTCAGCCACAATGTAAGTGAAGCAGTAGCAGCTCAGTCAGCCGTGTTGTGTTGATCTGCAGTTATTACATAATCTAAAGCCTAAGGCTTTGCCTGATAACAGGAGCAGCTGGAGGAGGCATCTGGGAATAGGCGACACATGTTTAATCACTCACATCTTGGCGATTACAGAGGATTCACTTATCAGGTCGGTGTTTTAAACTCTTCAGTTCAAATTGTAATGGATTTTTAGTATTTTCTTCATATCCTAACCCAGTACCTGCAAAAGTGGGGGTTACGCACGTAATTATGCGGGTTTCATGGTAAAAATTAGTTGAATAAATTACCCATTTTAAGCAGCATTTAGAATGGGGAATATGAATGGCAGTGTTATATTTGGTTACTCGTTAGAATAAACCGTTAAAATAAGACAATTTACACACCCCTTTCAAACCACCTGTCGTTTTTGGCCAATGTATGTCCACATTTTGGACAAAGAAGACAGGTGGTTTGATAGGGGTGTGAAGGAAGCCATTTACGTTTAGAGAGAAAAACAACGCAGTGATGGAGTTGATTCCTTCCTGCTTTCATCACAACCCCCATCACTATGCAGGGGACCAAAACATCTCACTTGGTCAGCTAGGCCAACAATCACCCCAACAAATCCCTTTTCAAAGGCATAGGCCAGTATCCGGTATTGTAGGCCAACGACGACCTCAACGACTCCCCATTACCAAGGGTGTTCCTGCTCTTTTGGTTTAATTTGCATCTTTTCTAAGTCATAAAAAGGCTTTGTAGGGCTACTCTCTAAAGCTTGGAACTCAAAGCTAACCCAGACATTTTGAATTGAAAACATTTCCTGGATGGGAAGTGAAACATCTTCAAACTTGAAAAATAACTAACTTTTTTGGAATTTAAATGTGTCTCTTTTTGATTTATTTAAAGGAGATTTGAGTAATTTATTAGTTGGGAACCATGTATTCGTGTTTTGTTTTCACTCAGACCTTAACAGCTGGACAAACTGCCTGACTTCAGAGGCTGATGTAGCCCCATGCCGCTTTAGGTCACTCAGTGTTAAACACAATAGAAAGTGTCCCCAATGACCTGTTTTGCTTCCTGAAGCAGCTGTGTGTCTGGTGCGGGTTGTTTTGGTTCCTAAAAACTGCTAATAACGTGTGCAGATTTGTACATGACACAAATTTAATTGTATTTTTCAATACATACTGTGGCATAAGATAATAGCATTAAGGGTGGTGTGTGAGAGTTGAGACGTTGGATCAAGTGTATCTGGCTTAATTGTGCTACTTTGTGAATTAAATGGAAAAAGTGTCATTTAAACATGCAACATAATTAGTGTAGCTAAACTGTTGGATCAAATGAATGTGAAAGAAAGTAGCCTGCAGAATACTTGCTTTTGAGAAAATTTTTTTTTTTTTTACTATATAATTGTTAAAATGTTGTTTATAAAGAGCTTAAAAAGTACAAGACATGTCTGAGTGCTGATTGTCACTCAAGTCTGAGTGGCAGACATGGTGGGGAAATAAACAAAGAGAATAAATTGTGGAAACATTAGGAAGCCTAAAAGAGAGCACTCAGTATGGGAGATTTGAAGATATTTAATGTGAGTTAATTATAGGTTTGGATGAGATCTTAGATTAAATCTTGAAGAGTGAAAAACGCTTTAGCTCAAGACAGGAGGTTTTGAACAAAAGGTCCTTCGTTTAAATCTGCAGGTACAAAGTTGTTTCAGGACTAATCTCTCCTTTGTCCACTAAATCCTACAAAGCAATGACACAAAGATGGAATAAATTAGATACATCACAATAAATATAACATAGGATACACTGCAAAACTCCTGGAACAGACTCACATGGTGAAACAGTAGCAGCATCATTCTTTCCACGTATTATAGGAGCTGTTAGCCATTCAGCCTTTTCCTTAATTCCATGTCATTCCTTTGATATTGTTTTATTATCATTTAAATTTTCTACCACTTGTCTTTTAAATAAAATCCTGTGCTGTAAATGGTCAGGTCGTGTGGCCCCCATCAGGCATTTGCTCACATTTTCGGAATGAATAATAGAAATAGCATTTCAGGACAAGATTAAAAGGCTCCAACCTCTAACATGGCATTGAAGCAAACTAGCTGTATTTTATTTGTTGGGGACCTTCGAACCTCAGTTTTATGGAAAGTTTTGTCCTGAGCAAGTCCAAACATTTATAAAAAAAAAAAAACAGGCTGTAATGATTTCTTCTTCCCATTGGTGACCCAGTAAACAATTACCGGAAAATACCTTTTGCTGTTTCTTTTTTTAATTGCACCCTGGAGCAGAGAGGAGGATTACTGAAGGGTCTTTCAACATTGTTACAGCTGAAGTCTGTTATTCTCATTCGCTGCCTTATCATGTTAAACATCATTTGAAATATATTCAGCTCTGTAAAGTGTATTTACTCATTTGAAGACTTTATTCGTTTTTCATACACCTATATGTTTCAGATCATCATCATCATCATCATCATCATCAAAAAAAAAAAAAATCAGACAAAGATAATATTAATAAATGGATACATTCCATGTTTTATATTTCCGGTCTTATACGTTTCATAGGAGATGGTTGCATATAATCCTTTGCGTGATAACACACATAGGCACAGCCCACCTCACAGAGTTGAGGTGGCATGGGGTCAATAACATATAGTCAGAGATGGCAAAAGTACTCACTTTCTGTACTTGAGTAGAAGTACAGATACTTGTGTTAAAAAATACTCTGGTAAAAGTGGAAGTACTGATTAAACTTCTTTACTCAAGTAAAAGTAACAAAGTACAGGCTTGTAAATTTACTTAAAGTATAAAAGTAAAAGTAGAAACCACTTTTTTCATGCCGTTGCCTACATTTTAAATGGATGTCTGCCAATAGGACTAGATCTCCGTTGTGTTCATTTTCAATCATCTCGTCGTCCATACTAGTATGCTAACGCCACCGCCACCAAGCTGCAATGATTTGCCGCGAATGAATACCGCCGAATCTGTCGATTCATCTTGTAGTGGTGCGTCAAATGCAACGTAGATTCCCATCCAATTAGATTGAATTTGGTATTGATGACGTGAAAAATAATAACGGTAACTCCATTGAAATTATTCAAAACTAAAGTAACGAGCCAATTTTTTAAAATGTAAGGAGTAGAAAGTACAGATATTTGTGTAAAAATGTAAGGAGTAGAAGTAAAAAGTCACCATAAAAATAAGTAGTAAAGTAAAGTAAAAATATCAGAAAAATCTACTTGAGTACAGTAACGAAGTATTTGTACTTCGTTACTTCCCATCTCTGCATATAGTCAGTAACACATAGAAATTTACACATCTTAAAATGTTTTGGGTTTCATAATAGAAAGCTTAAGTAGTTTACTACATTTGTTTAGCTTTCTTTTTGCAGTTCTTTTCCAGATGGATGTGGTCCCAAAATGACAAGCATCATTCCTGTGCATTTCCGGAAAAGTAACAGAGGGTTTTGGAGTTTCTTTCTTACACTGTTAACAGTGTTCCCACTGTTAAACCAGCAAAAGGTGAAGGGATAGGAACTAGGAACAGGAGCTAGGAGTTACAATTTGCACTATTTGGTGGAGCAGCTGGTGGACTGGTGTGAAGATAACAGCCTGATCCTGAACGTGGAAAAGACAAAGGAGATCATCTTGGACTTCAGGAAGAACTGGCCTGACCCCACTCCACTGGTCATCAACAGCTCAGCAGTAGAGGGGGTCAGCAGCACCAAATTCCTGGGGCTGCACATCACAGAAAACACTACCTCACTGATCAAACTAGCACAAAAGCGCATGTACTTCTTGCGAAGGATGAGGAGAGCCCACCTGCCCCGACCCATCCTCACCACCTTCTACAGAAGCACCATAGAGAGCGTTCTGACCAGCTGTCTCACTGTGTGGTATGGAGGCTGCAACGCCTCAGATTGGAAGAAGGTGAGGAAATTGGTGAGAACAGCTGAGAGGACCATCGGGGCTCCTTCTCCCTCCATAAAAGATGTTTCATCCCATCGCTGCGTGTCCCGAGCCCGTAACATCATCAGTGACCCCTTACACCCCCACCATGGACTGTTCTCCCTGCTGCCCTTTGGGAAGAGGCTTTGAAGCATCTGATGCAGGTCCAGCAGATTCCATAACAGTTTCTTCCCCACTGCCATTAGACTACTGAATGTTATGTAAAATAGGGTATTTTATTATATTCATTATATTTTATTATTTGAAAAAAATATACAGTCATATGTTTATATTACTGTCTTTGTGTATTTTTTTAACAGTTTTTTCAAGGCTGCACTTTAAAAAAATGAAATAGTCTAGAAAGCTGTTCTTAAAAAAATTTCTTTTTGCTTACACTTGTGTATACAAAATGACAAAATAAATCTGTCTAAGTCTATTTGGAATTAGCCAGTGAACTTCAGGAGGTCTCTATGCTGAATAAGCAGTTAGTCATGTTTCTTTCCAACAGAAATGCGTACTTTGAGCAAAATTAAAAGTAAAAAAAAAAAGGAAATGCAATATTTGCCATGTTTCCATTTGGTAAAGCAAATAAGCATAATGGTTTCATATATCGTTGTGCA